CATTTCTCTCCGTCGACTAGCAAAATGCAGCAGTTCTGGCACAGTTACCACAGCAACCGCAGTTGCTAAGCAACCCACAACTCTCCATCACCCGTTCCAGAAGTCTGACAGATGGAGAGGGAGAATGCCAAAGCAAAAAGTGAGAGAGAGAGAGAGAGAGAGATGGGGAGGGGGAGGTATATTAGGAGAGAATAGAAAGAGAAAAAGAATAAAAATGGAGGAAGAGCCACAAGGCAGAGAGGCAGGGATGATGAAATCCAAATCAACTTGTGAATGACACCCCTCCTCTCCCCTGCCTCCAGAGTTTAGCGTCATATTTTATGGCTTTCATTTTAGAAAGCAATTGATGCCATCGTAACTCACGCCCACAAATCCAAAATATTCAGACAAACAACCAGGGGGAGCCGGGAGGTCGGCTGGAAGTCCAATAAACACACGCAGACACGATCATAACCCAGGAGTACAGTAGCCCACGGATATGAGGTCGGACTGTCTTCTAGTGTAAATGAACCTCGTATTAAAATCTCCATTCTGCGATAAACGAGCAGGTTGGAGAATGTTTTGTGCCCTCGAGATGCACACGACTAGCGAATCACCGAAGATCTCATCTAAAAGAAATATGAGCTTTTTAATGCGTTTTTAATTTGGTTTCTATGATGCTGCAGATTAAAACAAGACTAATGAAAGCTCTGAGACGAAAAACAAAACAGAAGTAGTAAACACAGAGCAGGGCGCATTAGTGAACCGGCCGCAGCTGTGAAATCAATCATCCCGGTAGAAAACTATAATTTACTGGTATATTAGAGTAGAAACGGCTCCCAGATCTCAACGTTACCATGGTGAAGTGTTCCCAATGCCTGCTTCGCCTCATTACTAGGTTGTAAATATCCTAAAACTATCCGTACAGTAGGAGAGTGGTGTGTGTGTGTGTGTGTGTGTGTGTGTGTGTGTGTGTGTGTGTGTGTGTGTGTGTGCGCGTGTGTGTGTGTGTGTGCGTGCGCGTGTGTGTGTGTGTGCCAAAATATTCATGAGGTCTTCTGACTGACGGGCGCTCTGTTCTGCCTCTATCAGTTTTAAATGAAAACTAGTGATGAAAATGTTTCATTTTCAAGACTCGTCCTGTACAAATGGTGACCAGAGATGCACTGATCCACGTTTTCACTTCCAATACCGATATCACGATTAGTATTGTCCAAAACCAATCTGATACAGAAAAACAGCTGAACTGACTTAAAACATTTCATGTTCTGTCCGTGGAATTTGGGAGATTTCATTGATTGATGAAAATGTTTACATGCAATGTATATATAGCCTTTGTTTTATTCAACATTCACCCAGAGCTGCTGCCTAGTTGCTGTTTCGGTAAAGTGCGCAGCGGGTGTATGCGTGCAGGTGGAGTGAAGATGTATGTACTTAGACGCTCCAGCTCTGTAGCCGATGCTTAGAGCAATGTAGCTTCACAGACAAACCAGAAAATACGTTTCCTACCATTCTGATGGCAACAAATGGGCAGCAGAGTCAAGTCTGTCACAATAACCAATAATTCAAGTAATTTCATAATAAATTAAAATGAGAGCTATAACTTCTGTTTAGAAAACACTCATTAAAGAGACACTCCCCTTTAATATCGCTGAAAAGTCAGCATTTTGCAAAACAATGCAAATTGACATATGAAGTAGTTTGCACTACTTCCCACTTTTGCCTGTTTTCCCCGTCTAAGTTGAATCATTTTTTTTTTATCATCAACCTTTACTGCAATAATTTCTGGGACAATTTATTGTCCAGTAAAATTTGGTTTTGTGACAGGCAAAGGTGTAAAAGGTCCCATTGTTCACATGAACACAAAAGTTATGAAAAGGTTGAAAAGTGACAGTTCATCTCTTAAACTGACGTTTTAAACAAAAATGTGCTGATTTTCATTTGTATTATTGCACTGATTAATTTCAGATTTCTGTGTATTTTTTATCCACTTTGACGTAAAAAGTGCTGCAATGGACTGGCGACCTGTCCAGGGTGTACCCCGCCTCTCACCCGAAATGGAGAGTCACCAGCACCCCTCCTGACCCCGCGAGGGACAAGGGTGTAAGGAAATGGATGGATATATGGATGGAAGTGAGTTATTATTGTTCCAGGTTGATTTTCTCATAAGAGAAGAGTGATTACTGGGTAATCACAGATATAAAAATTTGGGCCAATATTAATTCTGCTTTTATGGCAGTATTTACTAGTGTTTTATTTGATCAAATGATTGATTACTTGAATAATCGATAGAATACTCGATTACTAAAATACTCCTTCACACACAGCCCTGATACAGATCCAAAAAAAGTCCTATTTACATCTCTGTGGTGCAAGTTAAGCTCCTCCTAAACAACACAAAGGATCCATGTGTGAGCTGCGACATAACTGCTGGTCTTCCGTAGATTCACCGATCTGAACACCTTAGAAAAGGAGATGTTGTTGAGGATAAAGTTGGAATGGAAAAAAAAGTGAGTTTTGGAAGTGGAAGCTCAGTGAGGAACGAGGAAGATTTGCTGAGATCTGGGTTTTCTGCAGCCATGAGAGTCACAAGAGCTGATCGTAGTAAAACAAGGCGCAGCATGGCAGAGTCTCTCTGCACTGCAGCTTTTCACTTCATGCAGACAGACACTTTGCCTGCTGCTTAAAACCAAGACTTCTGGGAAGTTTCTGGGTATTGTTTGTCTAAATGTAGCAACATGAAAATCAGTGGAATGCATGGAAATTATTTCTGAGTCGTATTAGTAAAGCAGAAGTTTAGGTTTGTCTGTCATGACTGAACTGATAAAAAAACAAGCTGTCATCTCCATTGTTCCAGAAGATTTCTTAGAAAATGTGCAAACAGCCACCTCATGCAGAGAAACATGCAAAACTATTTGAATATAAAATATGTAAAACAGCTGGCTAAAGCCAGGAAGCTTATTGCAAAACGGCTGAAGACAGTTCCGCATTCTTTGAGCTCAGTTATTGGAATAACTGGACCACCGGGAATACAATACCTAGAAACAACAGATTGTGGCCAATTTATCATCTCGTGTTTAGTTATCTACATCGGAGAATTTAGTTTTATTCCCATCTTTCTGTTATGAATATGTTTGTGTTTGAAATAAAATGTTTATATTAAAATTAGGTTGGATTTTTTTCCTATAAACTCTCTAGACAAAAAAATAATTATTTGTCCAACCCAATACCTGAGGCAAACAACTGGGATTAGTAAAAATTTTATTATAACTCGACACTGGCTTTTCTGTGATAAATACTTATTTATAAGAGAAGTAAGGCTGCAGCTGAATTATTTTAGTAATCGACTGACCTGATGATTAGTTGGATAAAAAAAATGGTCACATTCTGAAGATTTTTCATTTTCCCATTTAAAACTTTTATATACAATATTAGAAATGCACTAAATGTTTGCAAATGAAATAATTTAATTCCTTTTTACATTTGACTGCCTAAAATTCAAAAACAGCATTCCGTTAGTGAACCCTTGATCATTTGTAGCACAGGACACACATCTGTAGCACCCAAGCAAGAAATGTTTACTTAACAGATTCAAATATTTGCTAATTTGCATATTTTAATGCATTTCTAATATTGTATAAAAAGGCTTATGTGGTTAAAAAAATCTGCAGAATGTGCACATTTTCTTGTCTGAATTGATTAATCGTCAGAATAATTGTTAGCTGCAGCCCTGCTACAGATGCATGATCCTGCTGTGATCTTGGGCGTTTATAGTTTCCTAAGGAGCTCAAACCTTTTCTGGACAATAGAAATCCCCAAGTATTACTGACTTATTAAAAGAAATCCATCTTGTATGCATGTCCAGACACCAAAACGGAGAGGAAGGAGGAGATGAAACTGAACACAACCGACAGAAATTAAATGAGTGTTAAGCTTGATGGAGATGGAGAGAGAGAGGAGCTGGAGACGAAGACGGAGCCAGGGACAATTAACACAGCCTGTTCTCATGGGGCGGGGTGGGTGGGGTGGGGGGTGAGAAGTGTAAGTAAACCAAGCTCAGGCCTGCAGGGTGGCTGCGGTCCCCTGGTACGGCACACAGCCGGTCAGCTGTGAACAGAGACGCTGTGCTCTATGGCGGAGAGGCGGTGCTTCCACCGGCCGGCCTCAGGAAGCAGCAGACATGATGCTAGCTAGCAGAACAAGCTGCCCACATGCAGCCCTCACAGCAGCAGCATCACAGATCAACTGCCTGGTTTCAAAGAAAGCCCCTCTGGAGACAACAAGAACCGCGGCTGGAGACGGACCCGTCACCTTTTTGGGTTCAGGCCCGACACCAACGCTCAAACATCTGCTGATCCTGATGTTTTCCACCACAGCTCCATTTATCTGGATTCTACAGCCATACTTTGGGTGAAAACTACACAGAAAACCACACGCACAGCCAGCTGTGGCTCTAGTGCCACATTATTAGCTTTCCAACGACAATCAGAAAAGCATCAGACAAATTTTATTTGGATCAAATCTATGTGGTCATTTGTTGATCAACTCTCAAATGTCTCTGATGAAGGCCGTCCTGAGGCAGACCCACTCTGCCACAGACACTCAGCCCATAGAAATAAAAACACTTGACATCTATTTATAGACATGAGACTGATACATTTTCATGTCCCATTCTGTTACATTTTGGCTGCTTATATGACCTGACAATGATTCTCTGGGGGAGGGGCTCACAGGGGGGGCACCACTGTTCACACATCTTTACCAGAGGTACCAATAAATGTGAAAAGTGTTCATTATTTGAAACTACGTAATTACAATCATAGAAGCTAATAAAACATAACGGTGGATGGGACCTCATGACTGATATTTTAACGCTGCTAATGTTTACATTTAATATAGGATTTATGGTATAAATCATCACAATCAGAGGAGAGATCATAGACTGGAAACATGGAGGAGAGGACACAGGATGATGCGAGGTGTGAAAAAGCTTTACTCCCTTTAAAAGAGGTCAGACTTACCAATTTTCTGGTTGAAAATTTTGTCAAAAGTGAGTTCATCCCTTTCCTCCAGGTACTTCTGCATTACACTGCGAATACTGTAAAAAAACAAATAAAAAAAAGTCAGTTATTAAAGCATCCACATGCCTCCTCCAGCTTCCTCAGAGATCCTGACCCAGGTTTGAAGCCTCCCAGTCAGCCAGCCATCCCCCCACAGGGAGGAACTGCAGGGAGGGAACCGGGACACATGGGAGGCTTCTGGGGGGCCTGCAGAGATACAAGCTATCCTGGGACCGGGTGTTAATGAGAATAAGCCCAAGGAGAATGAATCAATTAACACCCTTCCTCATAGGCTCATTAACACTTTATCAGCACCCTGCACACTAAACACACACAGCGGCAGGCTGAACAGAAAATCATCTGGATGTCGATGGCCATCTAGACTTCTCAACCAATTTAAAATCTAAATTTCAGGTGACATTTTGGACATCTGAAATGACTTCTGGACTATTTTAATTATTTACTTTCTAAAACAAACTACACAGATGTGAAGAGGACACATTTTATTGCTTCTATTTGATTAAGTAAATGGTTCTGAAACTTTTCCTGTTGATTACCGTAGGCCTGTCACAATAATCAATAAATCAATTAATTGCATGATAAATTAAAACAAGCTCAATAATTTCCATTGTCATGATTTATCATTTTTCTCGTTCTGACAAAAACTGGAAGATAAAGTCTTCAGTTTGGTGACTTGGTTTCAACTCGCCCTTTTTTTTGAAGGACAAATTTATTTACAGACCCTTCAGAATTCATTTTATTTACCGTTTCTGTTTTGTTTATTTATTTTGGATATTTATAATGTCTTCGGGTTCCAGTGTTAAATGTTCAGCAGAATTTAAAGTTTATTGATATGTGTTCTTGCATTATTATTCCATTACTATATGACTTGAAAATAGTCTCAAAACAACAATATTATCGTTTATCGCAATACTGCTGGACAATTTATCGTCCAGCAAAATTTGTTATCGTGACAACCCTAGATTACTGCCTCCGAAAATACACAGAATAATAAGCTAAATCCACCAGCCTTCTGCTTTACATCACTTTGGTCAGCAGCCAAGTTTTTATTACAAATGTGCTTCCTATCACAAAAAGGGCTTTTTCAAAGTTGGTATGTTCCATCAAGTACATTTATTTTCAAAATGTCTCATTGTACAAAGATATGATCATTGGAAACGGTATGGAAAAACAGTGCTGAATTGACTTACAGCATTTATTTTGTTAAACACAGACATAAATGTACTGAATTACAAACTTATTTGATAACTGCACCAGTACAGCACACTATGCACCAATAGTTTCAGAATCTTGGTCAAACATGCAAAAAAACAAAACAAAACAAAAAAACAACAACTTTCATTTGTTCCGTCAGTGCCATTTTAAGTATAACAGCCAATCTTACATAAATAATAAATTAACTGAAATTGACCAAAAAAATAGGTTGCCTACTTTGGTGAAACATGTAAAAAAATAAACTTCTCTCAAATGGTTCAGAAAGCTTATTTTGTCAAATATGTATTTTTTAAATAAATTGCAATTAACTAAAGCCCTGCAAAAATGCTAAACAAGTCCCACCACCACTAATAAAAATGCAAAAGTAGCTTTAGACATTAAGCTGTCTATTTTGTTCTGATAAGTTAATTCTCACTTTTTTGACAGAACTAGTCAACTGTTCAGAAATGAGTCTCGAGACTTGAAATTCAGTCAAATTTAAGACGAGCAAAGACTCAAAACTTGACTTTGTGGTGAATACAGACTCGACTGAGTCTCAAGACCTGAGAACAGAGAGCTGAGCCGTCTTTATCTGGAGTCATCAGGGGTGAAGATAAGCTGCTAAGCAAGCCACAGACTGAAGCTCAGGAAGTGATGTGCATGTTCTCCTGTGAGTTTGATTTAGCACACAAGACAGGAGCTAACAAGTGTTTATAACAACCTGATCATGTCAGCCGTGGAACCCATAAGGGCAGCACTTCATCAAGAACATGTGATTATGATACTTATGTTGGACAGTCCAACACATGTACAGCACAACAGCAATTTCAATTTGTTATAATTAGCACACAATTTACAGCTCTTCAGGTTGTGTGTGTTATAAGGGGAAGGTCCATTTCAGCAAAGGTGAAACGAACCTGAAAGGAAGACGACTGAGGAAAATGTGGATCAATCATAATTAGGCCTGTCATAATAATCAATAAAGCAATCGCATGATAAATTAAAATGAACTCAATTTCAATTTGTGTGATTTCTTTTCTTTTCTCTCCCTTTCTTTCTACCAAAAACTGGACAAAAAATTTTCGATCTGGTATTTTGGTCTCAACTAGAGCATTTTCTGAAAGACATTTTCCAGTGTTAAATGTTCATTAGAATTTAACGTTTATTGATCTTTGAGAATGTGTTCTAGTATTATTATACCACTATAATAATGGTATAAAATAGTATATTGCATACCATTATAAAATGGTCTCAAATCAACATTATGGCTTATCGCAATAACTTCTGGAACAATTTATCGTCTAACAAAATTTGTTATGGTGGCACGCCTAATCATAATTGATATTCTTAGCAATAGTTACTAGGGCTGTAATGACTCATCAAATGATTTGAGTACGCCAACTATTAAAATTCCTCAAGGCAAATTATCTGCATCAACGCTTCGTTAAATTATGTTTTATTATATAGCGCACTGTGTTCCAAACAGATGATTATTTGTGTTGCACAGCGCTCTCACTTCCACCACGAAGCTGTTATTGAGGAATGCAAAGTACCTTCAGCAGCTATGGAGGGAGACACTTTTGACACAAAAGGTGTCAAAAGTGATGGATCACTTTCAACTGGCTGCTAACAGGTCACGTTTTTGTTCCCTTTGGAAAAGATCAACTTTTTTTATCTGTGTGAGTCTTGGAATAGAATCTGGAATGTCAAACATGTACAAAGAAATACATTTCAGCTAACATTACATTGCTGATCAAGAAGAGTAATGACGTGAAAAAATAACTGACAGTATTTTGTTTAAAAAAAAGTTTCTACACTTCTTATATAGACTGAAAGTGATATTTGATATGTATTGCATTTTCAGAAGTAAAATGTTTTATTTAAAAAAAAAGGAAGCAATTTTTTTTTACTAAGGCTGCACATATGGCTGAAAAAAGTATCACAATATAATTGTCTATATTTACTAATTATTCATTGATTTTTTTGTTAAAATAACTGAAATACTGCCAAACTGATCACATCACCTTTCCAGTTTTATCCACATTTTTCTCTCCATGCCGTTGTTCATTTGTTTTAAGCAGTTGTGAAGCACAGGGACGAAACTTTAAACTGCTGCACAAGTTACTCAACAGGTTGTTAATGGGTAACTTAAGAGTGAGTGAGTTAGTTAGTTGATGTCACCACCATACATTTTTACAAGCATTTTATTTTGTATATTTACTTTACTAGGTTAAGTAGCTGCAACAAAATGGGCCTTTTTTTCCAGTTACTTGATTAATCATCAGAATTATTTATAGATTACTTAATTACTACAACAGTAGGGCGGTGGTAAGCTATGGCTATCTAGCTTACCACCGCCCGGGTCACCGTCATGGTTTGGTGCTGTGGGTCAGACTTTGTGTTTTGTTTCCAATATTTCTGCTATCATGAATCCAGAGAAGTACTGGATCAATCAAGATCCAGCACTAGTTGCAACCAGAGAAGCATCTGACTGATACTGGTTTTATTTTTCAGCATGGGAATGACCTCAAACAAACAACCTATCAATGCATTGAAAGTCAGACATAAAAAAAAATAAAAATAAAAGCCACACACAATGGAGCGCTGTGAGTCATGGATCAGTCTCCCTCGAGTCTGGACCGTAACATTATTAAAGCAGTGTGGGTTCATCTCGGCAGCAAGGCAAACAAAAGGCCGCCAACATCAAAATATCTTTGAAATGTTCTTCAAAAAGTGTCCACAGCTATTTCCAAAAGCTACTGGGAGAAAATAAACAAGAACACATTCCATAAACAACAGAGAGCGGGTCTGAAAGAAATAAATGTGGTCATTATCGCCACCATTAGCTGAAACCTTTTCTTCATACTTTAAACATTTTAATAAAATGCAGCTACAAAGAAAACAACATATGAAAATATAGTGCAGGGCTGATCTGGTGATTAATTTTTGGATTAACTGATTAATAATTGGATAGTAAAAGGTACTTAAGATTTTTTTTTTTGTTATTTTTTTGTATCATTTTGGCTTACTGCTCTAAGTATGTTGCCATTTCAGTAAATTACCTTTTTTGAGTCTGTATATTCCAGTTAATGATCTATTCCTAAATTGGTAGACAATTATTTAAATAATTAATCGGGATTCATCCAATTAATTGTTTCATTCGTAATTTCAATACCACAACAAGGCATGACTTTGTTGCTATGTGACAGAAGACCCCAGCTAGTGGTGCTAATGACACAGATGGGTGCAACCTTTTTGGTGAACACTATGCAACATGTCAGCTTCAGCCACAGCTGCTGAAACAAGAACTGAGGAAGTTGACACTTCCTCTTCAGACTCGGCCTTCTTGCCCCACTGAATCACTAGCAGCTGACTAGATTATTTGTTTAAAACTAAACCCAGCATACCACAAAGACGGTTAACATTTCCCGTTAAAGTCAAGTATTGTGAGATTATTAAAACTTAAAGGTGCAGCAGGTCGTTCCAGAACACGGCTTCTAGGGAAAACCCAGATAATGAATACATCTATTACAGTAATAAATCATGCATGACAGCACGAGTTGGACCAAAGGCCGTACAGATAATCTGTCTACCTGTTAACATATTGACACACCTCTGTACAAAAGGACCGAACGGACATCTTCCGGACATTATCAATTGAGTTTAAGCCGAGCGAAGCTCAGCTGGGAACAACAGTTGTGGCATAACATCAACATTAGCTTATGGGGGCAGATGACCGTGACACAGAGGGGCAACAAAGAAGGTCCTGCTGCGACAGAGCGCTTTGAGTGACAGACTGGCTGCCGGCACGTGCTGATAAATA